AGTGCGGAGGACATCGCAGCAATGTTTGTGCCGTCGATTTTGTTTCTGTTTATCTGATCTTGTTCCCTGATTACATTTTCTTTTACAAGGTGGAAAACCAGCACAACAACGCAAGCTAGCCTCTGTGTGTGTGTGTGTGTGTGTGCGTGCGTGCGTGCGTGCGTGCGTGCGTGCGTGCGTGCGTGCGTGTGTGTGCGCGTGCGTGTGTGTGTGCGTGCGTGTGCGTGTGCGTGTGTGTGTGTGTGTGTGTGTGACAAATACAAAACAAATTTAAGTAATATACACGTACAAGCGAACGACGTCAGTGACTAAAATGCTGAATCAATGTGGTCTTTCGTTATTAGCGGCTAGAAAAACAGCTGTCCAGTTAAGACTGTAATAGCCGTGCCACCCGGGCAACTCGAATGCCATTTACAACGAATGACATTTGAGCGGACGGCCAATCAGCGCGCGACACTCCGGGCGTGGCGCATTCCACGCGCGACAGATTGCGAGCTGATTCGCCGATCACACAAATGTCATTCGTTGTAAATGGCATTCGAGTTGCCCGTGTGGCACGGGTATTACTCTGTATATAATGCAAAATCAAAAATCAACCAGGAACTATATCGAAAAGAAGTGTTTAAACAATCATGTACGACTAAATCGTAATGAAATTATTCAGCCCTTGTAGGGTTTATAGATTCAAACATCTTTTTTTTTTTCTCATTTGACGCCATTGATGAGGGGAATAAGCTTTCGGAGTGCGTTGTTAACTCATTTAACATGTGCCACGTTTAATCTTCATTAAAACATTGTTTTTTTTTGTTTTTTTCTAATAGAAAAAAGAGTGTCGCTAAAACTTGAGTGTACTATATCACGGTGCTAACTTTTGAATATTAGGTTCTTGTACGTGCAAATTTGAGCTGAAATTGTATTATGCTTTTCTTCTGTTGAGTTCGCGTGCTTTTCAGAGGTGACAATTTTGTACACTTTTTAGTTACATTTTGTTTCCTACAGGTTTGGTGCAAGAAGAGAAAATAGATGGTGCTATGGAGAATTTGGCAGCCTAGAAATGGCGCCGGATACTTCAAAGTTTGGTGCAATGCTGTAAGCATTTATCAATCTCCCTTGCAATGGCCGTCGAGAGAATGCCGACAGTATTGATCAAAAACTCCGATGAACTAAAAAAAAAAAAAAATTCTGCTATTACTCTAGCTGCTAAGCTTTAACTGTTCTCCGTTCCCAGCGGACGGAACTAATCACCTTAGCCAGTGCAGCGCTGTGAACCTTTAACGTGACCACTACTCATTTAGCACGTGCTGCGTCCCTATCGAAGGTCACGTGGTACTCACTCGGTATTTTATTGGTTTCAGTGCCCCGTAGTGTCCTTCGCGGTCAATAAAAAAAGAAAGTCAAACTGGAGGTTTACTGATTTATACAGCGTCAGGTCGGTCTGCTAGGATGAGGCGACACCGGTTTACACTCTATCGCAAAGTGAAAGAGTATAGGCAACATGCAATGCTGTTTGGTTTGGCGCTATCTCTAGCGACTAAAGGAGGAAACATTGGGCGTGCCTCGAAGTGGCGGCTGCATTGTTCAAACGTGAGCTGTTACTGTGGTGACGTCGCTTAGCCTAGTGTCCGACGCAAGAAATGCTGGGTAAGCCAGGAAGCCGTGGGCTGACAGCCTGCCAGTACGGCGGAAGCTACGACCCCTGCGGGCCAATGGAAACAACGGAGCGAGGCACGTGACTTTGCGTATCACCGGAGTGCGCTTTTACTTCGAAGAAGTGTCAGGCTTTCCGCTGCGTCATGCTCCAATGTGTGCGTGTTGCGCTCGCATACATAGCGCATATCGAAGCCGTGGGAACGCAGTCTAGGGCGTAGCGTTCACCCTTTGCCGATTTCCAACGAGAGAGGGTAGAGCCAGCCGGCAACAGTCAGGTGGCGCCAGGTTATACCCTGTCTCTTTGTAACTTAGCAAAGGGTGCACGATAAGCCCCAAATTGCGTGCCGATGGCTCCGATATGCGCTACGTATATGAGCGCAACGCACACAGATTGGAACATGACGCAGCGAAAAACCTGATATATCTTCGCAGTTGAAGCGCACCCCGGTGATACGCAGTCACGTTCTGATTGGCCCGCCAAGGCCGTAGCTTCCGCCGTTCTGGCATGTTACGCGATCACGGCTTCCTGGTCTACCCAGTATTTCTTGCTTCAGACACCACGCTAAGCGGCCGCACCAGAGTAATAGCTTACGGTTGGGCCACGCAGCCGCCACTCCTATAGGCATACCCAATGTTTCTTGTTTCTGTCGCGAGATAGCGCCAAACAAAACAGCATTGCAGGGTGCTTATAACTTTGGGCTCTCACTCTGCCGGCGCCTCCTGTCCGTTGCCACCTGCGGCCATAAAGGGAGGAATTTCGAGGCCTCGCCTGTATTCTCGACTGCGGCCAGGGCCATATCTGATAACATCAACCCTTGTAACACGGTTACGAAAGCATCCAGGCTTCGGCGCGTGGCAATTACGTTGTACCATTTCAATGCAGCTGCTCTTTTTTCAAGCTCCGCTCGCCGCTGACGCGTGTTGCATGCAGGGAGGCCAGATTTAGTCAAGCTATACCTTTTGCGGCACGCTGTACCCGCTGTCTCCAACAAATACTCAAAAACGTAAATGAAAAAAAAAAAAAAAAAAAAACTTTCAGCAGCTTTGCGGCAGAGGGTATACGGACCCGTGCTCTCATGCAGTTATGGATGTGAAGCTGTGCACGCGCAATCCTCCTTTTTTCGGAGATACCTCAGAATGTTGTTCCACAGCATGCAGTCACCGAAGGCCTAAGAAACGGAGGGCGTGGCCTAATATATATAATACGGTTTCTAGTTTCATGGTTGGTTCTTTGGCGTTTATAGCGGCTGATTGACGCAACCTCATTGGCTGCTCATCGGTAGTAAGATGCCAGGAACAGAACTACCTTTGCGTCTCTTCTGTTGTCACTGACTATACCTACTCCTTTATACAGAGCTATTGGAAAAGAAAAAGGACGTAAAAACGCCAAGCTCTGATTGGCTCGAATGGAAGGATAGTGGGTTGACCTAAACGCTAGCAGCCTCCAGATATACCCTTTATACTTCCAATCGAGCCAATCAGAGCTCGCCGGTCTGACGTCCCCGCAACCACTGCGCAAAAAGCAGACGAGCTTGCGCTCTGCATTGAAGTTTCGTTCGATATGCCACACGGCGGCCCTGTGTTTTGTTGACAGAAGTAAATGGCGACAACAGTCGTTTGGCGGGGCTGCAGTTTGCAAAGTGAATCTATGGGCACATTAAAAAAGGGATTCCCCCCCCCCCCCCCCCCGCCCCCTTTCCCTCGATATTCTCCAAGATCTCAGACATCAGATTGAATTAAAGCTGGCAATTCAATGATTGAGGATCATTTAGGTCCTGCGTGACAAGAAATAGGCTACCGTCGAGGACTACCATGACTTTGAACTTCCTTCAATATGTTCGGAGTGTGTTGCTCGTTTTATTAGTGACCTACCGTATACTTGAGGGCCAAGAACTAAGTAAATATTATTATAAAAATTTAAATAAATAAACCTAGATAAGTATACAGAAGCAGAATTTACGCTTGTAGTAATAAAAATAATATTTAGTGTTGGGCCAACCCATACCTAATTTTAAAGATCAATATTTAGATAATTATGGCTCTACACAATTATTGTAACCAGAAAACTCACCAGAGATATATCCAAACACATATCAACTTTGAGATATTCACACAAGGCAAAACAAAAATGAGAATGGTAAAACTGATGGCGGCAAAATGTTATGACGCACGAGACACACATTCAGTACGATATAGACGCTTTACACACGCGCCAAATTACAGCCGCCATTGCTGACCTTCTCTTGTCTTACCGAGATGCGGAGCAACTGAAACGGTAGTTGACGATCCTCTGCAAAGGCCGATGCTTTAGAAAAGGACGCAGTTGAATCTAATGTGGCAATAACCTGGCCTGCTATGGTAATGATGAAGTGAAATAAACGAAAAAAAAGGAAACAAATACTGAAGGTCAGTTATGGCGGCGTCCATGTACAGCTGCTGCAAAGCGTCTATACGGTACCATAGGGGGGATCGGTGGCCGTGTGGACTAGCGCATGCACACCAGCTCGGAGCACGTGGAGCGAGAGTTCGCTCTGCTGGACCCAGGGATCCTGGGTTCAATCCCCAATCCCCCTCTCTTTTCCATCTGGATGCGCATAGTACCGGCGTGCTGTCGCGTGTCACTATTGAGTGGAATAACTTGTAGTTTCGCTAGCTGGTTAATGTCGGAAATCGTGGTGAGCGCCTGTATGTCTGATTTCCCTCTAGTGCCCGTTGTTTTCTTGCGCCTTACACCATGATTTCCCACTATTCCGTGATGCACGTTAAAGACTCCAGGCTAGCGGTTGTACTGCACAGGCTAAATTTCTCATCTACAGCTGGGAGATACGGCAGACAAAGTTCTAGGCTGTATAAACATACACACACCCCAATTTTTTTATTTAATTTTTTTGTTTTGTTTTACAGTTACGTGGACATAGCGCAGGGCGCTAAGTATTGTGATGCTCGAGGAAACAATGTGAATACATATGACGAGAGGACTCGCATAACATTGAAGTTTTTTTTGTTGTTTTTGATATCTTATTTTGCGCGTTTTAAGGCCGTCTCTTTACGCGCTTCCATTTTGGCTCCTGGATTGCTGGAAACGGATCGTGGGTTGTGGCTTGGAGACCCCTGGCACCAAATAAAGTTTAAAACTTGATCGTTCCTTTTCAAAAAGCCCTGTAGAGGCGGACAGAAATATCAAATTTATTTTCACGGTTCCTGTTCACACGCGTGGAAATATACAATTTCCGAAATAGCGAAGTATATAGAACCTGTCCCTCGCTGTTCCACCGTCAGCGCCATCGCCCTAGAGTGACGTCACTAATGGAATTGCTGATGCACTGCCCATGCGATTCTCAGAAGCTTACCGGTTCGTATCGGGTAGAGTCCGGTGAGCAGAGCAGCCTGGAGGGGGTGCACAGATGCTGAGCGTAGTAGCTGTTCAAGATGACTCCGTCTGCCACCAGGGCGTCCAGATTGGGCGTTGGGATCTGCGACGATCCGTGGAAGCTCACGTCGTTCCAGCCCTGCGTGTAGTTGTGTCTTAATTCATAGCAAGTATGAACCAACTATCGACTGTTGCAGGTTAAGAAGGACAAGCCGGTCCCAAAAAGCTTCCCGCTAGCCATGATTGCTGGCTTCCTCCCCCGACCCTCCTCCTCTCTGCAGGTGTTTTCGCTGAAAAAGTAGAAATAGAGGAGCGCTTTGGGGGAGAAGCTCGTCCTTTTGTTCTTAACCTGTAACAGTCTATAGAAGTTTATTTGTCTCGGACCTAAAATAAACGATGAAGTTAATGCGATTTCTTTATTCATTGCTGTAACACAACACCATTGTCAATGATGAAAATGCTCGGGACCTGGAATAGCGATCACAATAAACTTTAAGGACGGAAAAGCCTAAGACAAAAGGTAATCTGGTGTTATGAGATGAAATTGTATACGTTTGAGAAATTAGAACGTTTATACACGATATTCCAACGTAAAAGTGATATGAAATGCGTGGATAGTTTTAAAGGCTAGTCTGCTACTTAGTTCCAATACATTAAGCTTTCAAGATAGTGTCAGCAATATAGGTAGAGGGCTTATAAAAACGGCGTCAATTTACATGCGCCGCATTTTGCCATATGAACCGGATATGATTTATAGCACCCGCTCTTTGGGAGAAAAAAAATGACGAAGGGTTGTATACATACCAGGTCGTCTGCTAGAATCATCACGATATGTGGAGACTTCACTTTGGCAGCTTGCGATGAAAGCGGCAGCGCTGTCGCTAAAATCAGCAACGCTACTCCAAATCCTTGTGTACCCATCACTGCACGGAAGATCGAGTGATCGGTGTGTTTTTCAGCACAACTGTTGTGTGTGTGCAGTGTTTGTCCTGTTCGCTTATCTCTTCTGCTCCGTTCGTGTTTTCGAGCTGTCTCTGCATTACGATCAACGAAAACCAACTACCCCAAACCTCGACGTTACGGTAGCATTACGCTTCTGTTTCGTCAGAAACTTAAACAGCAAACACAATCGTTCGCCGTCGACATGGATGGTACTGCTGAAAAGTCTACATTGGCAAGAAATCGGGAGTGTCGTCTTTTCCATAAAATCACTCGAAAGGGCCAATCACTTCAATCTACGCAGGAAGCTCGGTGAATATGACGGGGCTGATACTGTGATTACATCCACACGTCTGCGCTGTGGCAATGAACACGACGCTTCACCGCACTACCGCGTGTAATATTAATACACTTTTTCTACCACTGGAAAAAAAAACGACGTTTTGTGCGCTATTTTTTACTCGAAATACGACGTTCACACAAAACTAATTTTCGAAGGCCTTTTAATATCTAGTCTTCCATCTATATTATATATATTGCCGCACGCTTACCTGACCAAACATGCAGCGCACTCGTGGGCTAACGGTTATCGCGCTTGCCTTCCACATAACAGTCAGGGTTCGATACCTGGCCGCAGGTACACATTTTTATTGACTCTGTATTGTGATGTTCTGGTAAATTCGAAAACCCTGCTGCTTTTTCTATGTCAGAATGTTCTACGCGCCGACCGATTGCGCCGGCCACGCGTGTACAAAGGGGCTCCGCGTGGCTAGCCGCAGTCAGTCTCGCCCCAGCGTTCGACCCTGCTGTTACGCCGACTTCGACGCCCGCGACGCTCTGTTGTTATCCTTTGTTTTCCTTTTGGGTTTTGGGCACAAGTCCTCCACATTAAACGTTTGAGTTTCCTCAGTCATTCTTTGCTTCGTCACCTCATCATTCGTGCTGCTCAAACAATATTACTCGGGGGAAAACAATCACACCATTAACTTTATTAAACAGTTATCAAATTTCACAAGAAACTGCGAAACGTATCACACTCGCCGCAGTGAAGCGTGGTACGTTACACACGCTCGCACTCACTATAGAAATCGATTGCTGTCTTTCACATTGCCATCTTTACCCAATTTTCTCGATCATTGGATTGTATAGTGTAATTTTATTTTTTCAGTTATTACCGAACTTTACTTATGTTAGCTTTTTTATACATGTGTTTTTGCTGTATATTTAACAAATAATTTTTGTGTCGTGTTTACATTGCAGATACCATCACTGTTTTCCAGTGTTTTATATATAACCATGTTAGTCTATTTTTTGCTAATTTTTGTTTGAGTGTGTGTGTGTGTGTGCACGGGGGGGGGGGGGGGGGGGGAGACGAGACCAAGTAAAACAACATTTTTTATGTGGCTTTCTACGTGTACCCTCGACATCTAAGAATATTTACTTCAGGGATGGGCAAAATAATGCAAATATGTATCGAAATTCAAATACAAAATACTTCGTTAAAAATGTATTTAATTACAAATCTAATTATATTTCCAAAAAAGCATTTAAGTACAAGATACAAATACAACCAAATGTATTTGGTCTCCTCCAAATACTTTTCCAAATACATTCATTCCTCAAACTTTGCGTCAGCGACTTCAGGGCACCTGCCAATGGGTATCTGGGTATCACTCTAAAAAAAGTCTGTGCGTCTACTTTCCCGCACAAAACTCGGAGAACCAATCAGCGCAACTTACGGAGGCAGCTCAGCGAATGACGATACCGAAACATCTGTTTAGACCAAAAAACGCTGACTGAGTTGTGACAATAAGCAATGCAAGCGTGACGTTTTGCATTGCTTAATGTAACAACTCAGACTGCATTTTTTGGTCTAAACATAAGTTTCGGCATCGTCATTCGCTGAGCTGCCTCCGTAAGTTGCGCTGATTGGTTCTCCGAGTTTTGTGCGGGAAAGTAGACGCACGGGACTTTTTTTAGAGTGTAGATAGCGGCGACTTGTTTGGATTTGCGAATAGGAAACCACTTAGCGCCTCTCTGAAAACTTACCCTTCCATCGAGCTCCCACGAAGAAAAGTGCACTGCGACAAGCGCCCCACACATCCGAACGAATCTTGTGGCAGGAGGCACTAGCACTGTCGCATGTCAGAAAACGTAAAAATCCTTTGCAAGATCAAAAAAAAAATGTTTTTTTATTATTTCTAGACGCCCAGTACTTCGAAGCCTCCAGCCTCCATGGCTTCGGTCATCGCGAATGTTTAATTGTGCTATTAGCTTTTCGTGTGCTGTGTGCGTGCGCGCGCGCGCGCGCGTGTGTGTGTGAAGGAAAAAGAGCGGGAAGGGGTGGGGGGCAAGGAGCTTGTTTCTGCAAGGATGGCTCGTCTCCGACTCCCTTTTGCACGAGGCGTTCCGTTCCGATCTCCCCGACGGTGCACAGACGGCGCCCTCAGGTCGGGGCCCCGGGAAGGCATGCAGCAGCTGCAGGCTGACAGTTCCTATACTCTGTTTCATACTTAGCGTGCAACGCTGTCAGAGCTACTGGCGCGAGCGCGTGGCTTCATCTATGGATTTCTTTGCGCGAGAACGCGTGCAAATGATCAACGAGATCAAGCCTCACACTGGCGCCAGTAGCGTTGACAGCGTTGCACGATAAGTATGAAACAGAGTATAGAGTACTATATAGCACATATAGCTCCTTCGGAGCAGAGTACCGCAATCTACAACGCAGTCTCTCGGCGACTAGCGGCGAACGCCCGGAGGTTCCAACTCCGGTCAGAAATGCATGGGGAACGTGAGAAAATCATTGTTTCTTCAATGTTGTGGAGATGTACGGAACGACAATAGTTTTTGACATAATAAAGGGACATTTAAGAATAATTTGCGCCGAGGTGTGTGCGAAGTCAGGACGTAATTTTTGTAAAAAAATTTCATGAGCGGCATCATGCAGCAGACGACGCGTCAACGGCATGGCGACGTCACAGCGTTCACGTGACCCGCTCCGGCCAACCCAGAAAGTTCATCTCCGCTGCGCACAAAAATCGTCTGCTTCAAACGCCATTGCCTCGGAAATTGCGTTCTCAAAATTTTCACACGGATCCAATATTATGAAAACTTTGATAAAGTGTTTATTGCTTTACCAACTTCACGACAGACTAATTTTGAAAAGTGTCAACTCGGCGTTTATTTTTAATCAGCCGTGTTGAATCGATCTCCATGTATTCTCCCATAGGGCAAGCCGCCTCCTGGAACCCTGAGTACCACGTGACTCGCGCCGAGCTGCTCTGTCGGCCATGTCGGCTACAGTGTACTAGAATTACAGTGTACTAGAATACTTGGGTAGTGTTGGGACCGGAGCGGCTCGGCAACGGGAGCTCGTGAGGGCGCGTGTATTGACCGTTCGAGGAGGCGCTGTAGTCGAGCTCTGGTTATCCAGAAAAAATCGCGCAGCTTGCTTTTTTTTTTTGTTTTCACTTTGAGCGGTGCACGTGTCGGTACCACGATTTTATCCACTCCGTTTCATCTTATGTTGTACCGCAGCGAAGGCTAGAAGCGCGAGCTCATAGCGTTGGCACCTGCCCTTGGTGCACGGGAGCTCGTGCCGCCGAGATGTGCCCCAGAGCAAGGAGCTCGCGCTTATAGCCTTTCCTGCGGTACAACACAAGGTGAAACAGAGTATAGGGCACGTAAAAAAAATCGGTATTTTCAAATTTTTTTTTTTTTTTAATTTTGGCGGTAGGCAAAGGGTTAATGAACGGTTTAATGGGCCATGTTGCAACTGCAGCTTTGAAGGGAACCATTATTAATAGCCAACCCAATTTAGAAAGTTCGCGAACCAACAACGAGCTTTGAGCGAAAGCAGCAAGGCGCTCGTTTTTGTTGTGTTTGTCCGTCCCTTCTCGTTTTCTTCCTCAAGCTTCATTATCTCTACCAACCCGCTCGTTCTGTGCTGAGATATTCATCGCTAAAATTTTGCCTTTCTTTGTTTAATTAAAAACCGCGCGCTGAAAGCGCGAATGCGGTTGTGCTGATATCGATGCGTAGAAAAATGACACAGGTTGTCCCTGTCCCCTCGTCACTAACTCGACAGCGTGTCTTCGGTGGACTCGCCGGTGCCACACATCAAGACGACTAAGTTACTATTCTAGGTATTATTTTCATAACGCGGTTTCTGAATCAAGCGAAGGCAAACGTTTGCGATAAATTTCGCGAACCTCGTTGCCTTTTCGCGAACTGTCGAAGTTGTGTTTGCTTTTAATAATAACTCCTTTTAAAACTGCAATTGCACCATGGCCAATTATGCCGCCAATTAACAAGTTAACTAACCGATTTTGGTTAATTATTAGACACTGCAACGGTTATTCACCCATTTATTGTTCGCCGAGCCCTACAGACAACGAAAGACGGCATCCACATATATCTGCCATATTCTTTTTTTGTAAACTTTTGTAAAGTTATGTAAAAAATAAAACAGAAACACACTCTATGTCTGCGTGAACCAGATACGCCCCCTGTCGAACCATGGGTCTTTCTCTTTGAATACCCAGCTCAGGCGAGACTTACCTGCTTGTCAGAAAGCAGCTGTCGGTTAAATATATTGTAATGAGCGTGTAGGTTTCAGATGGTTTACCCTCAAGAGGATAATGCGCTGCATATTGTAACCATGGATGCGCTGCACATTGTAACCATTATTTCAATGCCGTGCTGTAAACTATTACAACTTTTTTCTTGCCTGATCTACGTGTGCTCATGTATTCTGCTCAAAATTATGTAAAATAGTTGCTTGTTTTTTTTTGTTGTTTTTTAATCTTATAAAGCATTACTGGTTCCCCCCACGTTGTCTCAGTTTTTGGACTTAAGTTCAATGTTAAAACGCGTGATAGAAATTTTCACGGCTTATAAGCCATTTTTTACAAGTGAACGTCGTGTGGTCCTCGGATGGTCGTTGCAGCCATGAAGAAATAAAAGACTATCACCCCTTTGGCGACCGTCGCTTGGGTGGTTCGACGCATGAATGAACACAAGAATGAGTGAGAAGTGAAGCGAGCTGATTAAGGTCAAGAAAAAGAAGATGGGCAGAAAAGAAGACATAGAAGTTAGCCTGGGATATTAAAAACATCCTAAAGAATCTTGGACTTTAGTATGTGCCGTTTCGTTTCATTATAAAATAAAATAGGAAAAAAAAACTGCTTCTGAGTTTTAGACATCCCTTTCAAATATGTAATGTTCCGCCTTTGCGACAAAGGAAATGGGAATTTCATTTAAAATGCTAACCATCCGACAAACCTAAAGTCGCAGCTAATTCTACGCTGAAACAACTTGCAATCCGCTTCTTTAAAGTCGCAATTGTTTTTATGTAAAGGAAGGGTAATGTAGCTTGTACCGTCCAATACATTGAAGCATCATGTTGCTAACGATCGTGCAGCAGCGTAATTGATGCCGCGGTACGACCGCTGGCAGGTCGTAGCTGTATCAGAAATCCTATGTGCACTCCGCCAAAGCGGCGCCAAATAAGATTCATATTTTCGCGCGTGCAGTTGCGCATGCGCACACGTTCCGGATAACGCGCCGGTGTCGACACCTGTCGCGATCAATACCACGCGCTTCAGGCGAGCCCCTCCGGTCCCAACACTACCCAAGTATTCTAGTACACTGTAGTTGTCGGCGAAACACGCGGCACCTAAGGTTCATATTTTCGCGCGTGCAGCCGCGCATGCGCACACCTTCTGGATAACGCGCCGGTGTCGACACCTGTCGCGATCAATACCTCGCGCTTCAGGCGAGCCCCTCCGGTCCCAACACTACCCAAGTATTCTAGTACACTGTAGTTGTCGGCGAAACACGCGGCACCTAAGATTCATATTTTCGCGCGTGCAGCCGCGCATGCGCACACCTTCTGGATAACGCGCCGGTGTCGACACCTGTCGCGATCAATACCACGCGCTTCAGGCGAGCCCCTCCGGTCCCAACACTACCCAAGTATTCTAGTACACTGTAGTTGTCGGCGAAACACGCGGCACCTAAGGTTCATATTTTCGCGCGTGCAGCCGTGCATGCGCACACCTTCTGGATAACGCGCCGGTGTCGACACCTGTCGCGATCAATACCACGCGCTTCAGGCGAGCCCCTCCGGTCCCAACACTACCCAAGTATTCTAGTACACTGTAGTTGCCGGCGAAACACGCGGCACCTAAGGTTCATATTTTCGCGCGTGCAGCCGTGCATGCGCACACCTTCTGGATAACGCGCCGGTGTCGACACCTGTCGCGATCAATACCACGCGCTTCAGGCGAGCCCCTCCGGTCCCAACACTACCCAAGTATTCTAGTGCACTGTAGTTGTCGGCGAAACACGCGGCACCTAAGATTCATATTTTCGCGCGTGCAGCCGCGCATGCGCACACCTTCTGGATAACGCGCCGGTGTCGACACCTGTCGCGATCAATACCACGCGCTTCAGGCGAGCCCCTCCGGTCCCAACACTACCCAAGTATTCTAGTGCACTGTAGTTGTCGGCGAAACACGCGGCACCTAAGATTCATATTTTCGCGCGTGCAGCCGCGCATGCGCACACCTTCTGGATAACGCGCCGGTGTCGACACCTGTCGCGATCAATACCACGCGCTTCAGGCGAGCCCCTCCGGTCCCAACACTACCCAAGTATTCTAGTACACTGTAGTTGTCGGCGAAACACGCGGCACCTAAGATTCATATTTTCGCGCGTGCAGCCGCGCATGCGCACACCTTCTGGATAACGCGCCGGTGTCGACACCTGTCGCGATCAATACCACGCGCTTCAGGCGAGCCCCTCCGGTCCCAACACTACCCAAGTATTCTAGTACACTGTAGTTGTCGGCGAAACACGCGGCACCTAAGATTCATATTTTCGCGCGTGCAGCCGCGCATGCGCACACCTTCTGGATAACGCGCCGGTGTCGACACCTGTCGCGATCAATACCACGCGCTTCAGGCGAGCCCCTCCGGTCCCAACACTACCCAAGTATTCTAGTGCACTGTAGTTGTCGGCGAAACACGCGGCACCTAAGATTCATATTTTCGCGCGTGCAGCCGCGCATGCGCACAC